CCTTGATTGTATGTCGCGGTCTGTTGTTACCTTTTTGTCCTAAATGCATTCATTCCTCAACTAATTAAAGAAGAATATAAAATGAACGATTGCTTTGACCGAGTTTGATATAAGACTTAAATTTGATACGGAAGATAGTAGACTCAAAAGATGGGTGTTAATGTTTTTTCGTGTATTTTTACAAGACAGTATTATTCTATCTTGCATGAACCATATTCCTACTCTTCTCATAAAACTCTATAAAACGTCATTTTCTAAATCACATCGTATTTAAAAATGTATTCGGCCATACCTCCATTTCTTAGATCTTTGCAAAGTTATTGATTGGTTTTGCTGCGTGGCGAAGCAAAGGGGGCCACGGCGTAAGAGGTTTAGGTTTTTGTCAGTTTGGTGAAATTGAAGGGAAATAACTCTACAGGATCTGCCCACTGTATGTATTTTTTATTATCGTTATATTATTGTTCATGATCATTTAAACATTTTTATAATGTAATTATACGTTGCGTGACATGTGTTTATAAACAAGTTTGAATTGCACTCGCTTATATGATAATACATGTATATATAAACAAGTAAGTTTGTATTGTTGAGTTTACACAAAAGGATTACTATATAAAAGTACAGTTGTGTTCATACTCAATGTTATACAAAGTGCACTTGGTGTGCACGTCGTGAGCAACTTTAGTGCACTTCAAGACCATTTATGAAATAGACAGTGTTATAGTTTTTTGTATAGCAATAACCCTTATAATGTCACTATATTTCTTAATCATAGTTTATAATTTCCAAAAAGAATATACATGTAGTTTTAAAAGTTTTTGTCTCGTGCGGTTAAAAGAATATGTAGAAATGTTGTCTTTGTGCTACCCGGTCCTTCTCCGGGGAATAGCGAGAACATTGGAGTTCGGATTATCAAATCCCCGGTAAAGACTCCGACCTGTGAGGACTGCAGTCAGTTGGTGAAGTCCCAACTTAATGTCCTCGTAATGTCGGTTAGAAATATATTTTGGTATACAGTTGAACCACTGCATAAACCCCAGCGGTGCAAGGACGAGCGGAAGGTAAAAAACTCGACTCAACCCAACCCCAACCACTTATACAATAGCACTACAATTGATTGCTGATTTAGTTTTAAAAAAATAGGTTAGAACATGTTCGAAGCCGGGTTACTTGGCATTTTTATGTAAGTAAGCAAGTATGTTGCCAGTTTTGGCCATTAGTTTTATGAAAGTTTTTTATCATCCTCTATTTTTTTTATTTATTTTTTTATCGTGTCACAGCGAAATTTATAATTAATGGGGCCTTAATATTACATAGGTTTAGTATAAAGAAATAAGTTATGATTATATTTCTTAGAATGGTATAATTAGTGGTATAATAAAATGTTGTATATTTTCTATTAAAGTACAACGTTTACAAATGTCATTACAGTGCGTTGAGTCATTTTGCCATAATCAATGTTGGAAAAGTTTTTACTGAAGCTGCTACATGTTCATGTTTTGTATCACATGACTTGAAAAACATTTGTACATCATTTGTACAATTTAATAAAAAACGGTTATAGTTGAACAGCACAAAATTATGTAATTACACAAGATTGTAACTTCTTTATGCAATAAAGTTATGCATGCGTTGTTGTTGTTCTTTTTGTGCGTGCATGCATGTATGTGTTTGGGTGTTGTGTTTGTTGTTTTGTTGTTGTTGTTTTTTTTTTTTTTTGTTTTTTTTTTTTTTTTTTTTGGGGGGGGGGGGATGGGTTGCGGTTTTTTGTTTGTTGTTTGTTTTTTTTTTGGGGGGGGTGTTGTACATGTTATTTTGTGATTAGAGTTTTGCATCACATAAACGTTTTAAAAGGCAGTCGGGGATTTTTTGTGGCCAAAAGTTAATTGTTAATTTTTATAGAAAGCAAAAAAAAATGTACCAATGCTCCTTTCTCTATCATTAGCCTTAATCTGCTTGAACCGAAAGTGTTTAGCTTTTGCCAACGAGTGAGACTAAAAAAGATGTTGGAGCACCACACTAAATTCCGAATTCCGGTATATACCGAACAAAGCGCCTCTTCATCCGCTGAAATGGACTCATGGACTCGAAGATGCCTTATGTATCTGTTCACACTGATTTTTATACGAAATTGAATGAAAAATGTAAGAATGAGCAAAAAACTGTATTTTTTACTTCGTGATTATGATTTCTGTACTTGCCTGAAATTAGTGCTCCACCACTGTAGTGAGTTTAAACCTTTGCCAACAGTACAAAGTCAGTCTACGCTCAATACTGTTGGTTACTCTTTTTTTATTTTATGTTAATGCTGAAATCCCTCAAACTAGGAATGGACTGTTCCAAATTCAAAGCTGGGCAGATCCATTACATAGGTTAAGCAGGATAATGGTTAATAATCTCAGAAAATAGATTTTTATGTCATTTTTGACATATTTTAATCAGTTTTCTAATGTTTATTTTTTATTTTGTTGTTGCTGTTGTTTTTGTGCTTGTTTGTTGTTGTTGTTGCGTTTGCTGTTGTTTTGCTTTGGATTCACACTGTCTCATGTGGATTCAAATTCAAATCCCGCTTTTAAAATTTGATTCTCGTGCAAGTAAAGGCACGTTATGAAATTTAGATGCATTAATCTCCTCTGCATGTAAAATAAAATATAATGATGTACTTGTTGGATTGTTTCAAACAATATATATCTCTCTCTCTCTTATTCAATATTTACAAACAAAAACACAAAATATAAATTGCACTCAGGATTTTTGTTTGCATGTTCAGCTAGTTTGCAGCATCGATTTTACATTATTTTTATAAAAAAAGCTATTAAAAAAAGAATAATTAATGTCCATATGTGTTGCTTATCACTTGACATGAAGTGAATCATAGGATATGTGTAGGATTGTTAAACGCAAAAGGCTTTCAAAAATATTTAAACTTCAACATTTTGCCGCATTGCTGATTATGAATGGTACCCATAAAAATGAGGTGTGCATAAAATAAGCAATTCTTTCATTTCATTTTGTTGCCTCCAGATGAATAAAAAAAAAACAAAGATAAGAATACTGCTGCTCTTACCATACAGATTTTTTGTAAAGCCACTTAATTTGTCTGGGTAATGCTTAAGAAGGATTTTGATAAATGTCAAGAAAACAGGTGATGCTATATGTCACAAAACAAAAAAAAGTACTATATCCATCTGGCTTCTTTTGTTTTTTGATGTTGAAGCACTTAAAAAAGTATGCCTAAATTGTTTGACATCGAAATAGCGGAATTTCATGGCAAAATTAGTTAATTGATATAAAAGTGTGATATGAAAGTGTGAGGAATATCACTAAAACTGCTGGGTGAAAAAACTAAAGTTCCAGCGATTCATTTCGGACATTTCCCTACCAAGATAGCCTCATGTATCACATCTACCACTTTATCACAAGAACTTCATTTTACATTGCTTAGACGATGAGTCATCGTATAAAGCTATCCCTTTTCAGTTTAGGAACAAAACGAATGTACATTATATTTAAAATTATTAAAATAGTCTAAATGTGTTAAAAACTATAGACAGCTATATTCTTTAAATATGTTAAAAAAGTCTATAATTTACGTGTGTGTACTGCACATTTCTATAAATCCAGGAGTTTACATAATGAAGAAAAAACAACGGATGAATGAACAGTATGTTTAACAATGATGATAATTATTGTTTAATCGATTTAAAAATATCGATGCTGCATAACATTTGACAGCATGTCCGTACAACAGATGGCTGCCGACGATTTTATATTAAGGCGAGCCGTCCCCATATGTTATTCATCTGGAGACTTGACATCACATCAAGACTAGAGGTAAGATTCTTCTAAAATTTTAAGTTATTTTTGTTCATTATTATATTATATTTTTAATTCAATGTTTAAATGTTAAGAAATTATTTATTTGTAGTATGGCAAAGTTATTTAAACATATTTTGTTGGTGTAAATTATGTGTAAGTTACTTCTTAATAGGGGTGTCATCCGGAGTTCGGATATTCGAATGTTCGAATCATGATTCGGTATCCGGAGTCTTTACTGTAAGTTCTTGACGATGCCTTATTAACCTTGTTACAATTTTATGACAGGCAAAAGCAGTGATTCTGAAATATTGTCATAATCATGCATAATAGGCTTCGGTTTACAAATTCTTGTATAATTTTAAAGTTGTATAAGACGTGAATGGCTTTAAGAAAATCATCAGAAATTATTTTAATTATATAAGCGCCTTAGCCTATCTATGATATTAGAAAAAGCGTGACACGAAGCAAAACATAACTCTTAAGACATGTATCTTTATATTTGTTATGAATATAGTTTTAGGGTTATTATATATTTGCCTATTTCTATATACAATGCATCGTCAACATTTTCCAAAATTACGTCTCTGAGGTTTTGCAAATTAAGATAAAAATGCTATCTAAGTGAAAAGAACGTGTTTTACAAATGTTTGTGTATGGATCAGTGTTTGCTTATTTATTTATTTACTTTTACTGTTTAATTGTTATACTATTCTTAATTGTTATTTGCATAATTCACCTTAAATCATATCCTGCTCGAGGTGTCTGCCCTGTTTGCTTTTTAGTCAGTATTTATTTTCTTTTTCCTTAAAATGATGAATGATTGTGTACAGACTGAAAGATGGACAAGTCAATATAATCGTTGTTAGGGTAAACGCAATATTATACATTAAAATACACCTGTCATCACTTATTTACGTACATTTTTCATTTGTAGACAAACGTATGCAATCTATATAAGAAATGGCTCAAGTTCTCGGTGTCGTTGTCCTTTTGACATTGGTATGTTTATATAACTTGAATTTCTTCATAATGCATGTGTTTTAACCAAGAAGCGCATTCTTACAGTAATTTATTTTTTGTACTACATATGTAGTAGTACGTATGTCGACGCAAAATATCAATATATGCAATAATTAAATCTTCAATTTATCTAGTTCTGTAAACACTATATCCATTATTTCTACACGATTCGAGTATAAACAGTTTCGTTAGATTAGAATTTAAATTAAAGATATTTTTATGATTATGCCCCTTCCTTATTTTCAGATGATGAACGCAAATGCAAATATGTGCAAGAATCTAACACTGTTCGATGTAAGTTGACAATTAATCAGTTATCAATGTTTTGCAAGCACGATCGTTTCAAGATGACAGGGCTCGAAAGGACTGTTTAATTCCATTGATTAGTTCTCTATTACGAATGATCGAATATGAAAGTATGATATTCTTTGTGAACTTTTATGTATGTCATAAATTAATATATCTTTTTGTACATGAGTGTCTTTTGGTATGTTCGCAATACATTTTACGCACGTCTGCGATTCTAAGGCCATTCCAACCTCCATCCTAGCGTAATGGAAGAAAGGACTCTTGCATGTCCACATAAGGTGTCTCCGTACCTACATAAAGTTTCGTTACCTTAATTTTCGTACCTTAATTTGATAAATCAAAGTTGGTAACAATGTTTTCCAATCTTATTCAGGATTGTGGAGACGGAGGTGTTTGTGTGTGTGCAAACATGAATAAAGTCACATATAACAATCCTGGAAACACTCCGTGCAACAATCTGATCTGCAGAGGTAAATGATGCTGTAGCAATTTCTATATAAATGTACATATCTATGCTGTGACTGTAACGTCTGATCATGTTAAACATAACTTTATAATATAAATGGAACTGAAATGACAAATACGGTTAGAACACTACCGTATTAATAAAGCACCAATGCATGGTTTATCGGTTTTAAAGTCATAGTTGTAAGACTATTTGTAATTTATACAATGGAATAGAACACAGTACCAGTGCTCATATGAACGTAGATATAACTAACATTAGCAGATAATCTAGTCAGACAAGGAAAATTCATTACAATACATTAGATATGGATATCTGCATTTATTGACAAAGATTCTTGATGCATCTCTTTGTTTGTTCAAATCTCGTCCAAATCTCGTGCGTACATATTTCGTGCAGTTATTATTTTTCTATGTATTTTATCATCTTAATATTTAAGTCTATCTTTTGTGTAACGTGTGCCTCTATTTCAGTACCTGAATGCTACAGTATAACTGGTAGAATTGTTCCACCTAAACAAGTAAAAGGAAAATATGTGTATTGCGTCACTGACGACGACTGTGGGAAAAAATTTGTGTGCACGCATTTAAATTACTGTTGTCGTGTGCCAAGAGGAAAGTACGCTAAATATATAGGTTCAGGAGCTTGAAATAATTTAGATCATTGATACCTGCTCCTGCTCCTTTTTAACCAGAAAAAATGACCTACTTATGATAAATGAATACAATAATATACAAACACAATTACAAATTTTGTTGTTTTAATTTCTATGCATGGGTAGTCATTGTAACGTTTGCTACGTTTCCGGTGCCGATACGGGCTCAACCGGCCTATTAATTAGTAATTAAACTCTTTGGGTAAATTTCATATAGTGGTCAGTTTCACGTGATAAAATACGGTCAGTTTATAACTTATAATGTCGTCATTTTATTATACTCCGTCGAAAAAACGTCAACGTCTTGAAAACTGAGATCATAATACACTAACTGGCGTAACAGTTGGACGTTACCGTCTTAAAACCATTGTTCGCTCTGACGTAATAATAAGGCGTCAAATGCGCATGTATATTTTAATTTGACGTCTCGAAGCAGGGAAAATTGACAATTCCCCAAAATCTTTACAGTAAAAATGAAGACTAAGAATGATATTAATAGAGAAAATTATATTACTAAAAAATATCTTTATGATGATGATGTTGATGATGATGATTAGGTTTATTGTCATTATCATCATCATTCATTTTATACATTTCGATGCGCTTTCTTTGATTAAAAAGCGGGAATTCAAACCATGTTATGCATTTCCCTTGATTTAAAAAACTATCGCCTTGAAATTTATACTGCGAGAAAATTTTGATTTTTAGGCGCAAAATAACCACTCTGGTGCCATTTGGCAGTTCATGTTATACTCGTTCAGATCCTCTTACCTTAACAAATTATATATTGATGCATAACTGGAGATGATTATCCTCTAAAGAGAAATGCAACACGGCGTTGTTTTCTTGCAGCAGATTCATCGACTATATACTCAGAGTTAATTGTCTCTATAAATATTCATTAGACCAAGCCAAGATATAGTCCATGGTATATTTGAGGTATGTCTCTTTATGAATTGCTGTAGCCGTAGACACTGGCAATTAAACTACCAAACAACGATGGATTTTGGAATAGTTCTGCTCATTAGCCAGTGGTAATGTGCCCTGCAGAAGTGTTTCAGGAGCTTGTGAACGGTCGGACACAAGTTCCCCGTCGGTCAACAAAGTAACCACCTCTTACCTTCCCTGGTTAAGGTAGTTTCGACTGTACCACCTACACAGTCTTATATCATTCATACAAACGAACAGCATATCGTCTGTGCCTAATAGCCGAGGTGTGTTATGCTTTGTACATAATTACGGAATACCGTTAGGGCCATCGTGGTTATACGTTAAAATACAGACGGCGACAATGTGAGAGTGCGACAGTGCGATGACGAGAATGCGACAGTGCGATGACGAGAATGCGACAGTGCGATGGCGAGAGTGCGACAGTGCGATGATGAGAGTGCGACAATGCGAGAGTACGATGACGACAGAGCGATAGTGTTATCGCACTGTCGCCATCGCATTGTCGCACTCTCGTCATCGCACTGTCGCACTCTCGCATTGTCGCACTCTTGTCATTGCACTATCTCACTCTCGCATTATCGCACTCTCGCCATCACACTGTCGTTTTCTCGCATTGTCGCCCTCTCGTCATCGCACTGTCGCACTCTCGCCATCGCATTGTGGCATACGGAATACCGTTAGGACCATCGTGGTTATACGTTAGGGCGACAATGCGAGATTGCGACAATACGATGACGAGAGTGCGACAGTGCGATGACGAGAGTGCGACAATGCGATGACGAGAGTGTGACAGTGCGATGACGAGAGTGCGACAATGCGAGAGTGCGACAGTGCGATGGCGAGATAGCGACAACGCGATGGCGAGAGTGCGACAATGCGATGACGAGAATACGATAACGCGATAGTACGATGACGACAGAGCGATAGTGTTATCGCACTGTCGCCATCGTACTGTCGCATTGTCGTCATCGCACTGTCGCATTGTCGTACTGTCGTCATCGCATTGTCGCACTCTCGTCATCGCACTGTCGCACTCTCGTCATCGCGTTGTCGCATTGTCGGCTCTCGCCTTCTGGTGGACGGTTCTAAACTGCTGGCGAATAAGCTGACGGTATAGAATATGGGATAATTTTACTTTTGTCAATTTTTTTTCTCTTTTTTCTGTTTCTTTTTATTATTTATTTGTTGTTTTTTCTGTATACTAATAATGTTTAAATGAAATCATAAATTAATAATAAGAATCATTTTGTATATAAATACTGAAAGAGTTATACATAGACGGAAAATGTAATTAATTGTATGAAACTTTAATATCCTTTGATGAAAATGATCTTATGATGACATTTAAAAGATGAAAAAATAAATAAAATCATTGTTTATTACTTGTATAAAAAAAGACAAACGAAATATACGAGGGTTGTTCAAAAAGTAATAGGACTGAGAGTCTTGCATATTCATATTTCATCCACTTTAGAATATTTTCATATGTTTAGGGATCGTTAAATGTTTTCTACAATTTATGCATAAGTTTATCAACTTATCGTGATGAATGCGCGTTTCCTGTGATATTGAATAACCATGGTAACACGCACCCGGCGCAGCACATGAAAATAGTTGTTTGAGCTAAATTGTACTTCTAATTTATTAATAATTTATACTCTGTTTGTCCATATATTCCACCAACACATTTACTTATATTTAAGTGACATTATATCTAAATTTGACGTCATTCGGACATGAAATGGCATAATTATTTAGTTTTGAACAGCTGTGGTCATGGTGTTAAATGTAGAAATACGGCACTCGGTAGCAAACACAAATTCGTTCCACCGTTAAATTGGACCAGCAAATTGGCAATATTCTTTCAGATACATACAAAATGATAAAATTAAGAAAGAAAAATTATCCTGCCATCAGAACACTCGTTTTCAGCTGGTACAATCAATTTAAAAACGGCGAATACAAAATCTCTAACAGTAAAGTGTAAGGATGAAAGCGGAAAATTGATAGATCGTCATCAGTGGTTTTATTGTTTTGTAAGATGAATAATTTATTATATTACTAACATTGTAAATAAAGATACATTTTATTAGAAATTTACGTCAACAAATATTTTTTTCTATATATCTAACATAAGTGGTCAACAATTTTCACTTTAAGAGTAACTTAACAGCAGATCCTACTACAATATATAAGTTTAATTGGTCAGCATATTGTACTATAGCCAACTGACTCCGCTGGTGGACATAGTGAGCACAATGTGTTTCAATGTTGAAAAACACATCTATCCATTAAATTTAATGCGAAAAAAATCTTACTGTTTAGTTTTGTTGTTTTTCGTTGTTTTTTTTTAGGAAAACATGCTAAAATTTCGGATTTCCAAATACCCACCGGTAGTTAGTGCAGAATTAAGAATAACCAACTACCAGCTGGTGTAGTAGTTTATTCGAATATCAAACTACCAACTACCTATCAAATTGACGCTTCTTTAGATTTTTTATCAATATCTAAGATCGAGCCATTTTTGGTGCTTGGTAAACATAGCGCTTTTATATTTCTTAAAGATAGTAAATAAATATGATTAAATAAAAAAAAAGAAATATAAAAGATAATTATAACTAGATTTCTGTGTCCACTTGTTTTACTATATAGCCAATGTGATTTTAGCTCAACCTTGAGAAAGAGAAACTGCTTATGAACAGAGGGAAAATGATATTTTATGTTTTTACATTTATGTATTTTAATAGTTTGAATATGTAAAAATTATATTGTTCCTTGTAGAAGGGCCTCATGGAAGATTGATATGTTTGTTCAAATGAGTTCTCTCGTTAAATAAAAATCTTTATATTATTATTATTATTATATTTACAGTGAAGTTTTAATTTACTTTTGCAATGTTAGTAAAAATTGGTTTATGGTTTATGCCATATTTTTTTTCTTTATACCATATGGTCAGCAAACTTAACTTACGGTGCTTTAGGTACACATGTATACTAGAATCTGCTGACCAGTTTAAACCCATTCCCCCATAAGCATTTTGTGAAAAAATGGCTGTTTACATTGAACCCCCCCCCCCCTGTTACACAAGTTCAAATAACTATGAAAACTATAATGTCGGTGGTTTTACTCAGTACCCGTTTGTGCCTAAAATATGCACAGAAGGCACCTGAGGTCTTCATTCACCAGCTAAAGCTGGAACGTCGCCATATGACCTATAACTGTGTTTGGTGTGACGTAAGACCCAACCAATCAATCAACCAACTATGAAACTAAAAAAAATGCTTTAATACTAATCAAACTTGGCACAAATGTGTTTACTAAAGTCATAGCATTTGTATTCTTAATTTCCTGTTACCATGACAACTCGGGACATTTCAAAATCTCTCTGTTGTGTTATTTTTTCCATCAAAAGCTGCAAAATTCCCGATGGGTCGGGATAGAGTGAAGGGCTTTCAAGCGTTGGTTACACGTTACCTTAAGATCGACCTGATGCCATTTTGAGCCTCTTCACAATTTCAATTTTTTTTCTTGGAGTTGAGAGGGGCGGCAGTTTCCCCTTCAAACCCCCGTGCAGAAGAGGGTACCCCCTCTCTTGCATCCCGATTGCATCTTATAAATTAGGGCATGGTTTTTCACTATTTGAGGCATTTCAAAAGGGATGGCGAAAAGGCGTGAAAACACGTCTATATGAGGTAAAAGGTAAAACATATATATAACAAGAGCACCGCTAGGCGGAACATTATATGCCCGAAAGTGCTTTTTAGTAAGGATGAAACATTTGTAAGACATTACATAAATTAAAATAAAGTATTACCTCCTTCAAACAGCAATACTCCAATAAAGTTTGACTATTGTTGGCCAAATGGAACTTTAAGTTATACTTCTGGAAACTGTTTTTATTTTTTAGGTAAAAGTGACCTTGAACTTTGACCTTGTGACCCCAAAATCAATAGGGGTCTTCTATAAAGGACAAAACATCCTAGGGAATTTGAACAAATAGGGGGCCAAAAAAGAAATTTAAAATTTACAAATTATTTCCCCGATTAAAAATACCTTTTAGCTTATTTGCCAGAAAAATTTTGAACCGTCCCCCAGAAGGGGCAGAATCAGAGTCGACCAAATGCCCCATGAAAAGGG